AATGCATTTTTTAATGTTTTTCATCATTATGGCAAATATTAGAAATTGTTTTGGTCATTAATACTTATTTTTATATTTTTTAAAAAATATTAAAAAAAAACCCTGTGCACAAATTGATTCTTTAAAAACCATTTTTTAAGTAATTTTCAACTTCATTTGGATGTGTTTTATTTAATCATTTTTAAATATTTTTTTTATTTTTTTTAATACTTTTTCGACCCACCAGAACTTGCCCAATTAAACCGACTGGTTTCTCTGGTAGGCCAGTTAAACCCCGGGCCCATTTCTCTCTAAGACTAGCCCATCTCATAAGGCAGCCGAAAGCACCCCCCTTTTCTTCTACGAAACTTGACCCACTGGCTACTTCTAGAAAGCCATATCTCTCAACTAAAAACCTTCAAATCCTGCCTTTTTTTTCTCTTTACCCATTATTTCTCTCTCTAAAACTCCATATCCTCAAGTTCTAATCCCTTGCAAAATCGTTCTTAAATAGCCTTCATTGATTGTTTCTTGTTAAGCGCTAATATTATTTTTTAATAACATTTTGATTCCAACCAGCCATTCCTACAGATCGGACGGCCGGGAAATTACGGCTATAGATAAAAGATATAGGGGTGGGGAAGTACAGTAGTAAGTTTGCCCGATAAACATATAAGAATGACTAAAATAATGTTGTTAATTGGCCGGGCCAACCCTTACTAGAGCCCAACTTGAGCCCAAAAATGTAGTTATGGGCTTGACCAAGTCACGCTCAACATGATAGTGAAGCCCCAGACCAGACCAAAGTTCATGCCGGGCTGTATATCAATCAGAAAAGAAAGTTTAATGTATACCTAATATATGATTAAAAAAAATCAGTCTGGGACGGTGCTGGCCGGGCTAGTCCCACAAATAATTTCGGGCTTACTAAGTCATGCCCATGGACCTTAACATGCGACCTAAACCCAACCTAGAACCCGGCCTCACAGAAAGCAAGGCGAGGCCCATTGACAGCCCTAAACTGAATAGGGGAATGAAGTAAATGGCATATAACCCAAAGTTAATATTGTTAAGACATTCGGTCATTTTTGCGTTGTGAGAAGAACCATATATGAAACAAGTTGTGAAGAAAAAAATTTACCTGGGAAAATCACTACTACAACCATTCATCCACAACCAAAAAATTGATCAAATAAATTCAGAAAAAATTGTTTAAAAACAAAATTTTAATTTGTGTACATATACAAGAGGTGGTTTAGATGCCCCTTCAAATTGAGACTTCGTAAGTGGTATTTCAATTTACAACCATGCCTCAAAAGCCATGGAGAATCATAGGCTGAGAGACTGCTTATGAAGGACTAGAGCCTTATGTGAGGCTCTGCAACATGCCATGGAAACCAATGCCTTCTCCACCTCCTTTGATGCATTCTTGTTCAGTAAGGAGACTATGTGCTCCATCAAGAATGACTCGTAAGGCACAGTTAGAGGGCGGCATCCTGTGAATCCAAGCTCTTCTTCGGCCACCAAAAGCAACTCCTGAAAGATGGGGCGGTTAAGAAAGGCTAAGGGAATCACAAATCGGCTGCCATCTACTGTATAAATCACAAAATGACCCTCAACAGCAACTGAATCCATTCGATTACTAGTATTCCTTATGAGAGATATTCTCCTCCTCTGACTCATGGCTTTTTTCTGCCATTTGCGCGCTATCTCCAAGAGCCTCTTTGAATTGATCATGGCTGGATACGTGGATTAGAGGAACTTAGTACTTGTTTTTGGGTAAGCAGGGGAACTTATTTTTGTAGCTGAAAAGAAGAGAAGATAAGATGATAATTGAAGAGTTTGTAGCGCAAGAATGAGCTTGTGGTGGTGTGAATGGGATGGTGATGAGCTCAGTTTACATTGAAGTGTGGAGAGAGAGAGAGAGAGAGAGAGAGAGAGAGAGAGAGAGAGAGAGAGAGAGAGAGAGAGAGAGAGAGAGAGTAGTAGTA